CATTCCTGCAAAGAATGAGACATCTTTCTTCATGATCCACTCCACCTACTCCCCACCTGCTCCATCTGTGTTGCTAAGGGATAACATAAAGCTGTGCAAATGACTGACTTTCGGTTTGATCACAATTCAAGAAAAGTGAAGACTAAATTGAAATGTCACACATTTGAAGTTTTAAAATAAGTCTCAAATAAATTTCTAAATGAGATATCATTTGCCATAAAATAGCTAAAAATGTTGTTAAGAAAAAGATAACAAAGTTCCCATTTTTGGGAATTGTTTAGGTTTATTTGAATAGTATCTTATTTTAAAAAATTTGTAAAAATGGGCATATGAACAGATGTGTTTCATTTAGCCAGCGTTTGCCTTTTCTTTTGTCAGAAGACCTCAGTTACTAGTGTTACTCTGCTGTGGTGTAGTTCTTTGCAGTCCTTTTTTCACACCAGTACTGGATAGGTAGATTTTTAATACTGAAGTCTTCTCAGTGCTGTTGCATATTTTTGCTTAAGATTCATCTCAACATCTAATGGTAGCAAATTGTTGTGGGACAGGTTAGAAATAGTTGTGTGCAGTATCAGTTTCCCACTTTCAGTGCTGATGCAGTTGTTTTGGGACATTCACACTCTCTAGAGCTTGGTAGAGACACTAATTGTATAATTGCAGCATAGATTTATGCATCAAGGACGGGGATTAAAACAAGTACTTAGCTTCTATAGCTTACTTCAGAGACTTAGTTTTTATGTTTGTGCCCTTAGTTGCAGCAGAGCTGAAGAAAATTCATGGCGTTTTCTTGAAACTGAAACTTAAGAGGGTTTGTGTGCATTGACAGGTGGCTTTGTATGGGAAGCTGACGAGACTAGTTCATTTTCACTTCACAGGGAGGATAATAAAAAGATTTGCTCTGCCCCTATCTTTTCTTTAGCAGCTGTGTGATACTCTCCCAATAGGAGAGTTGGGAATCATTAAAAACCAGCTTGGTGGATATGTGTGCTTCTCTTAAGGTAAAGGTTGAAAGTGAGCTGAAGTCTCCCTGGGCATTAGGCAGCAGCCTAATGCTGTATGCTTAGAGACTTCGACAAAGGTGTAATGGAGCAGAACGGGGGAGTGGGGAGATAGAATCTGTTCTCTACGAAGAAAAGCCAGGTACATTGTTTCCTCTCTGGGAAACTTTTTAAATGTAGGGCACTGTTGTCCTAAGAGAAGGAGCCACACAAGCCCATATGTTTTGTGTCAGGCTGAGCACAGAATTTCTGCTAGGAGGTATGGGCTGAAACTCACAGGTTTTGTCAATCACAGTCTGGGGTAATTGAGGTTGCATCTGCACTGAGTTAAATAGGATGTGTGATTTTGCCTAAGAATGCAGTGTTCTAAGAGCTGGTCTGTGATGAGATATATGAACTCTAGATCCAGTGACTGATGGACCTGGTTTGAAAATCACTCGGAGAATGTAAGGTTAAGGAAGATGAGCACTCATGTGGAGAGTGTGCATGAATCTGTTACGTTAAACGTTATGTGTTACTGGAATGCATGAGGGCTCACATAACCTACACTGTTACCAGGTGGTCCGTGGGCTGTTGTTGAATGGACTGCAATGTTTGCTCATGAAACTGTCCAGAGGACTGTAGAGTTAGTGCCTCTATCTTACAGGGTTGTGTCTGGATCCTGTGTCTAGTGGAGTTGTGAATTCCATTGTGAAGTGCCTTCTAATGGCTGAGATATGAGCTCAGTTTTCTGAGCTCATCAAGGAGGTCAGAAAGAGTGAGGCCTTGGGCTCCATTTCATGCCACTGTAAGCTAGGTAGCATTATTAATAAAAATACAAACCAAGTATTATTTATTATATTACATTACGTGCATTACAGGATTCCTCGAAATAGGAATCTCTCCAGATAGGAAATATTAGAGACTTCCTTGACGAGTGTGGTATTGTGTCCAGAATGCCTTGGTGTTGCCTTGAATATCTGCTGGGTACATAACAATCTTGTTATTTAATAGGCATGCTGTCTTCTTAGATATCTAAATGCCACAACAAATCTGTCACTGTTACATTGTCTTATTTTATTCAAATATACCTTTATACAGAATTGAGTCCATTAAAAACAGTTTGTTTGTGCTGTTTCTTTCTTCCATGTGGTGTAATGTGTGTTAGATATAGGAGATCTGATATGTAGACAAAATAGATGGGTAAAATCATAAGGTATATAGGTAAATTGTAGGTTTTACAGGATGACTCTGCGAACTTAATGTACATAAACCACCTTTGATATTTGAAGATTCTAATTCTGCATTTTCAGCCTATTAACTAGAAATAAGACTGAGAATTTTTGATCAAAATGTGAATTCTTGCTTCTTTACGAAGCCTTTACTATTAGTTACTTATCAAGGCTTGTTTACTCTTCCATGCCTCCCTTTAGTAAATATGAAGAATTTATACCCACTTGTGCTTTTTGGAAGGTTATAGCAGCATTGCTGCATCTATATCAGAAATAATTTGTGCGTTTAATTAGATGTAATTGATGGTTGACTTTTGAAGAAGCATCTCTTAAACAGCATAATTATGAGGATAAAGGTTTTCTGAAATGCATAATCAAGATGTTCATGCCTTCGAAAGTTTTTGTTCAATCATTTTTTTTAGCTGTGGAGCTTGTACTGAAATTAATGCAAGTTATGTGTAGCATTTATTTTTCTTTTTATAGCAATTTAATTTTGGAAGGTCTGTGTAGAGATTAGTGACAAATGAGGGACAGGATATGATTGTCCATCTTGGTTTCCAGTTTCAGGTTTGTCCAAAAAGTTTGTGCGTTTCCACACCTGGGCACCGAACTGATCTCTTTCGGCGAGACCCTCAAAATGTTCTGATAACAGACTTCTTTGGCAGTGTGAGAAAGGTGGAAATTACAAGAGAGACAATTTCTTTGGACCGTGACATAGCTGGATTTGAAAGAAAGTAAGTAGTCACTCTTTAGACTTGATTTGTATAGGTTTGTGCCACAGAAACAAAATTGTTGTATAGCTGTCCTCTGATTTCCTGACATTTCTTGCAAAGAATCAGGGAGTTAGTATGGACCTGCTAGTATGATGACATTGGGGTTTGTCAGCTAAAACTTAGTTTAAAAATGCTCATCCCTTTATTTAGACCTTTAAATAAATACTGCTAAAGACCAAGCTACAGATGTCAACAACAACAAAAATTAGTCTAAAATTTCTTTCTTGCTTGTAATTTCTTATTTGATGTGCAGAAATGTTTTGTTACTGTAGATTTGAAAGAGATAAGCTCTGAGTATATGCCATCAGTTTTTTCATAACAACTAGCTCTTTAATAGATGCTTTGTTTCTGTTCTGTGAATCCTCTGGCTTTTGACATTATCTGTCCTGAGAATTTTGGTTGCTGAGATGCAGTGATTCCTTTGAATAAAATTGTTGGTGCAAGTTCATTAATAGAAGTTGTAACGGGGCTACTATTACTTTGGATGAAGAAAGAATTATAAACTACTTTGTATTTTTGGTATTGTGTTGCCACCTATTGGGAACTGTAAAGGAAGATGTGCTTGTTCTATAGAGTTTATTTAGCATTGTACTTCCATTTCTGTTGCATCTTTTATGTTTCATGATACTGTCTTATAAGAGGGGGGAAAAAAAGGTTTGAAATAGTCTGATGTAATGGCTGAAATATTTTTCAACCCATAAATTTATGCAGATCGTTGTCTACCTTGTTGTTTACTGTTGCTCAAACCAAAGAACAACTTAGTGGGTAGCAGTTTACACATGGTTTAGTGTAATATTTCATATCATTATGAAATATTTAAGATTGCTATTCCACACAATTATATTTATTTCATATTTTATTTTCATACTGTATTTTTATCCATATAGTGTGTTAGGATGAACAGTATATCTCTTAAGCTGATTTTGTGACTCCTTAGTTTAGAACAGTTTTTTTAAGGAAAAGAAGAAAATCTTTTGGCAAATAACAAACATTTTGCCAGTCAAAAACCAGGATGAAAACTTACCTGTGTGGGCTTCTAATTTGTGGATGATTAAAAGGAGAAATAGGTTTTGATTGACTTTACTGTTCTGAAACAGGAAGTGACTGGTTGGGATTTTCAGCTTTAATTTTTGAGTTAGTTTGGCACCATTATATGAGGGGTTTTGTAGGTATCTGACACATTGCTGAATTGGGTACACGGAAGCAGTGTTGAGAAACCGGCACTCGTACATGGAGAGGAATATTATCTTTGTGAAATGCTGTCATATTTAATGAAGGATGTATTACATTTTCACAGCAATTCCAGTCAACTTAAATCTGTGACATTGAAAGGGATGGGAACATTCTGGTGTAATAGCTAAATAGTTCTTTAGCTTAAGAGAGTCTTTGAGAACATGTACAGCTAGGAATGGAAGCACACAGCAGCCCGTTACGGAATACTGCTTTATGTCTGTAACATACAGGACCAGTTTAAGTGGTCTTGTGTAAAATAGTGGGTTACTCATTGCGCTATATTCAGATAAAATTTTCAAAAGGAAGTACTTCAGTTCTCAGTTTCTTGTTCTCACTTCGGAAGAGTTTATAGAGAATGTGTTTTTAATAGAGAAGAAAGTATGGACTTTATGGAAAGTGCTGGAAAATTATAGCATAGCTGTCGAGATAGTGATGTGGAGTGCTTGATAAATTAATTAAACAGAATTCAAAGATTGGTATTTCCTGGTGTGACAGATCTATTTCACTACAACAAATTTAAAAATTACACCTTGAAGTGAATTTATGAAAAATGTTGATGCTTTTTAAAAACGCAGTTTTAGAAGGTCTGCTCTGCAAAAAGCAATTACTCTGGTTTTATGTAATGAATATTATAGACGTTACACATATCTATTAGGGTGTTAAGAAATCAGAACACTTCACAAATTACGTGACCTTTGAATAGATACTACCCAGATTGTTCCAAATTAATGTAAAAATAACCCATGAATGAAAGAATATGAATATCCTTAAGGATATCCTTAAAGCATATCCTTAACCTCCCCAGCCTTAGTAAAACCGTTCTATGCCTTTTGGGAAAGTTATTGCTGTTGACACCCCGGGTCGCACTCTCAT